TTTAGGATTCTTGAAAATGAAAATAAAATGAGTAAGGCTTAACATTTTTAGGCTTGAAATCTGTTTCATTACTTTGCTATATTTCTCCCAACTGCATATTCATTCCATGAGAAAACATAAAAATAGGGTTAGTAGCAAGTACACAGTTAGATCTGGCATTCTCAGCGGAGGCTGTGTGGGCAGTATCGGGTTTCTGTCTGCCTTGTGATCTCCCCCTGCTCAACCTTAGTCCCTGGGAAGGTCACATTCAATCCATTTTGATCACTACATACTGAAGGCTTGGGCAGGGAAACACAAATGTATTTAGGTTTCTTATTTTTGAGAGCCAGTAAAGCAATGCAAAACATCTCGAATGGGGGATAAATGAAACACAGGAGACGTTGGGAAGGGATGGGCTGCAAGGAGGACTCATCAAGGTCCTAATGGCCATGGTGTCCGGAGATGCATTAGCATGGCGTGCACTTTGTACATTCAGCAGGAGACAAGCAGGTGCTCAGGGAGGGGAGAAGCACAAGGGGATCCCAGCTAGTAGATTCTTTCCTTGGGATTCATGGGAATCATGAGGCCACAAAATTAAAGGAGGAAAATCCATGAGTCAGTACTCCCAAGTCCATACAATGGAACAGAAAGTCACTTGCTACGTGTTCTCCGAGGCCCACCCCAGGAAGGAGTAGACTGCTCCTTCCCCACCCCCCGAGCACCGCAGTCTGGTTTCGCCCTTTATGGTCATATTTTTGGGCACTGATGTGTCTGCCTCTCTAGTCCTTTCTCTTGAGCTCCAGCCACTCTTCCTGGGTGGATTTTCACTTGGGCGCCCTCTAATTTGGTGAGTTTGACTGCTGTGTAAAATCAAAATTTCAAAACCAGCTCCCCCTACTTCCACGACACCTCTGAATCTGGACTATTTTTTAAATCCTCACCTAAGGATATATTTATTGATTTTAGAGACAGAGGAAGAGGGGAGGAGAGAGAGAAAGAAAGAGAGAGAGACATCAATATGACAGAGAACAATCAGTTACCTCCCATACACACCCCATCTTGGGATTGAACCCACCACCTCGGTCTGTGCCTGGACAGGGAATGGCACCCGCAAACTTCTGGTGGATAGGATGACGCTCCAACCACCTGAGCGACCAGCCAGGGCAGTCTGGAACCATTTTTTAAAATATAATTTTAAAGATAGGTGACATATTGACATGTTTTTAAAAAAACAAAAAAGATATACATAGAAAATTTCCCATCTTTCCTTTCTCCGTGTAGCCAATTCCAGCTACTTGCAAGGAACTTCAAGTTCCTTTACCCAAATACAAATACGAATATAAATTTCCTTCCTTTTTATTCACAGGGGATGATTTTCTTCACGCTTTTCTGAACCATGTGTTCTATTGTTGCATAACAAATACTTCTAAACTTAGTGGCTTGAAACAACTTATTTTTCTCTCGCATAGTTTGGCGAGTTGACTGGGCTCTGCTAGTTGTTAGTTCTTGCTTTGAGTTCTCGCCCATGGTTGCAGTCTGATGTCGGTTAGCACAGGAGTTACGTGAAGTCTCGGCTGGACTGGGTGTCCCAACTTGGCCTACAAACGGCCAGCAGTTGATGCTGGCTGTTGGATGGAAGCTCAGCTGCCAGAACATGTTTGCCCAAACTTTCCATGTATCTGGGGCCTCTCCCAGAAAGGAAGGTGGGTTCCAAGTGGGAGCCTCTGACAACTGAGCATTCCAGGAGAGCAGGAAGTAGAAGCTACCAGGACAATTCATGACGACTTACAGCACTGGCACTGTTACCTCTGCTGTCTTTCATCGGCCAAGGTAGTCACAGGGTCTGCCCAGGTTTACAGGGATGGGGAAATAAACCCTGTCTCTTCACAGGGGAGTGGCAAGATCATATTGGAGAAGACCTAGGGGAGAGGAACACTGTGCTGGTCATCTTTGCAACACCACCTGAAGTACTTCTCTATTCCTCCTCACACGTGTTGGAAGTCCAAGGAACTTTCATTCAAAAAGTCTAACATCTAACACCCCCACCTCCCCCATTGCCACTGACTCCACTAATTCAGACCCTCATCTCTTTGTAGCCGGTTAATTGTCAGAGTTATCTTCCTGGTCTCCAATTTCCCTTCACTGCAAATAGCCAATAAAACTTGTGTTTTCTTACATAGGTATTTCCATAAACTTTAGCTTTGATGATGTCATTCTCCTAAGTGAAATATGGGTCAAGTACCACAGTGGTTTTGTTTGATCTGTGTGGTGTTGGCATATATAGTATTTACATTTTAAAAAACTCTCAACGTTGCAAAATCCAGATTAGGCCCCTTTTGAAAAACTGGGTTCTCAGCTGTGCAAATTCAGTTACTCCACTGATACGTTCTAGATGCCGAACAAAAGGGGAAAAAACTGGTCCCTGTGCAGCTTAGACTGGAGTGCGGAGAAGCAGACAATAGACAAATGAATAAGTAAAATGTATAGAATTACATGTTTACTTACACAGAATAGATAAGCTATATTGCATGGCAATAAGCTCTGTGGAGGGCCGGGAAGGGGACAGAAAAAGTGGTGGATGGGCCGGGCTATAATTTTAAATCATGTGGCCATAGAAGGCCTCACTGAAATGAGGCATTTCAGTTAAAAATTTTGAAGAGAAAGGAATTTCTAGAAATTTGCTTTCCAATAGAGTAGCCTGTCCACATGTAGCTATCTGCAGTGATAGAAATTCAAATTTAATTAACTTGAATACTCCATTTTTTAGGCACATGAGCCACACTTTAAGTGCTCAATGTGACTAGTGGCTACAAAGCAGATATAGACCATTTCCACCATTGCAAAAAGTTCTATTGGGCAGCATTGCAGAGAAAGAGTATTTCAGGCAGAGGGTACAGCAAGTGCAAAGGTCCTGGGGTGGGATATTGATTGACTTCGCTAAAAACTGGCATGGCTCTTCTGTTTACACATCCCTACTACTCCCTGTTATCTGCCTGATACTGTGGCTGGATAGCAATTTTCATTTATTACTTCATTTATCATTCAAGCCAACTTTCCAAAGGTCCTTATCGATCAATGCCATAGAGTCTATAGGATGAAGTCTGAACTCCCTGTGAGAAGTCGTGTGAAAGGCGGTCAGGACCAAGAATCTGGACTAGGAGACAGAACATGTGTGCGCAGGTTTGGAGCAGAGTAGGTTTAGGATGTGATTCAAAGGCACCATCAAGAATGAAACGGCACAAACACCTGCCCCTCAGAGCGAACATCGGCCGGAGGTGTCCTGGAAGGCCTCTGCTGGGCCAGCACAACTGGCCCTTCAGCTGGTGTTTCAGAGGAAAGTCTGGGCTACAGGGGGACATTCTGGGTCTCATGGTAATGCCTGATTTCTAACCAGAGCTGAAGCATTTCAACATTATATAAACCGGTAAGTCTTGCATGGTATGTACCAGTGGGATTCAGCCTTGAATAAATAAACGCGGTTGGTATTTTGAAACTGTAATGGACTGTCGAGTTCCTTGTGGAGCGCTTCCCACACGGCTTAAGGTGACGGGATGTAAGGCCTTCTGCAGTGTCACCAGCGTGTTCCGGTATTTCCTCCTGCTCCCTCATTACAGTTCTGTCCCTCTCTCCCGCCAGTAAGTGTGACACACGCAGTGCCCACTGGTTCTGTGTGATACCCCCTTGGCCTTGCTCGCACGATTTTCCTCTTTCCTTGGAGGACTCTGCCCCCTCCTTTCTCCCTGGTGGGACCTTCCCCACTCAGCTTTAAGGCACCGTCTACACTGGCCTCATTGGTTTCCTTGGCCCATCCCAGGCCAGAAGCATGTCTCGCTCCTGCGGCTCAGAATCCTCATTATCCACACTCACTTGGCCATTACCAAGAGTACACGGCAATTCCTCTCTTTTTCTATGTGTTTATTTTCTCCTGGGCCAACTCCTAAGTTCCTGGCAGTCAAAGGTCACAAGTCACTCTTCCTCTTTCCTCACGTGGCCACATTTCCATATATATTCCCCCAGTGAGGGACTGAGGGTACACGGCAAACCAAGTCAGGGCCCTGACCTTCTGTAATCCTTATTTGTCCATTTTCTTTTCTTTTCTTTTTTAAAATGTAAGCTTATGAAATTCTTACCAGTCTTAGGCAAAGATGGGGGCCTCAGCATCCTACTGAGGAGGAGTGAAAGCCCTAGCTGGCTCTCACTGAGGATGTGGGAGGTGAAGATTCACAGCCACCCGTGTTTTAAGGCCCTGCTGGCCCCCCTTGCTCTCAGCGCTCCACTATTCCTCGCTTCTGGAGTCGTGTGAACAATGATTCACACCCTGCTGGCCTTTACAGTTTACCAAGCACATTCATCACGCGCATCGGGCTTTCAGAGAAGGTCAGGTTCCAACACGTTAGCAGAGAGATTCACCTTCGGGTCACCAGACTTGCACCGATTTTGCTAAACACCTAGCATAACCAACACAAGTTTTCTCCCCTTGTCCTTTCCCGATGAGTGCACCAAAGACGGGGCAGCCGAACGGTGGTGATGGAGGGGGAGCAATTCTGTCTCAGGGTGGTGTTTGACTTATAGCAGAACACAGCCTATTTTGAAGTTCTTTGGCAAAAACCGTTTCCAGAAACAGCTATTGTGATTTGGGGCTAGGCTGTGCCAAAAGCAGGGAGGGGTTACGGGGAGGGAAAGTCTGAGAATTCCCAGTTCACCCGGTCGAAGTCCAATTCAACCCTGGCTGTTAAGAAAAGGGAGTGAAGTGGGACTTTTCAGCCTAAAGGGAATTGGAGTTGGGGGTGGGCAGTCAAGTGGGTTTGCTGAAGGATTCTGGGAACCCCGCACCTACGGAGGAGACGGTGCCCAAGGTGTCCTACCCTCTCCTTCCCGGGTTCCAGGAGAGGCTGAGGGGGGACAGGTCCGCAGGCGGAGGTGAGCCGCGGAAGAGGGCGGGGCGGGGCGGGGCCCGGCGCACCTGGGCGGGGAGGGGGCGGTGCGCAGGGCTGATCCCAGCAGGGGCCCCGGCGCGCGCCCCTGGGCAGCGCTGGCAGCGCGCCCCGCGCCCGAGCCGCAGTCGCGCCCTCTCGCTGCCTGGCGAAGCGCAGAGGCAAGCGCCGGGGAAAGAAGCTGCCCGCGCCGCCGTCAGGGCGTCGGGATGGCCGTGGGCTCGGTCAAGATGCAGCCGCCGTGCGAGAGCCCGGCCCTGCGCCGCAGCCCCAGCGCCCGCGAGTGCGAGCAGCCCCCCGCGTCCCTGCGGCCGCGGCTGAAGGACCTGCCGGCGCTGCTGCGGAGCGGGCTCACGCTGCGGAGGAAGCGGAGCGTCGCCGGGGGCCGGGTGAGTGCCGGCCGGGTCCGGCGCGAGTGGGCTCGGGCGGCGCGCACGTGGAGCCCGCGCCCATCCTAGGGGGCCGCTGAGGAGGGCGTCAGGAAGTTGGGGAGGTGGAGGAAGGGGCACCCCTTTGCGGGACTGGGCAGAAGAGGGTCGGGGGACGGCGGAGTCGTACGTTTCCACACCCCACACACCCATGAGCGACAGTTTCCCCTCCCCCCACCCCCAGATGCACCTGATTTAACCCAAGGGCACCTGGCCTCCGGCAGCCGGACCGTTGGGCATCGCCGGAAAAAAGGCAGTTTGCCGGTCCCCAGAGGGGCAGCTGCAGGTGCCCGGTACCTAACAGTCGGCCAGCCCCGTCCCGCCAGCACGCTTCAGGGCCCGTGAGTGGGATCCACGGGTGTGCAGGAGGCAGGGGACGCGTGCGCTCGTTTCGGACGCCCGGTTGCAAGCTCTGGGCATCGGGAGTGGCTCTGGACGCCGCCGCCGACGAGGGGAGACCCCGGAGTGGGAAGTTACTGGGCCAGCTTTTTTAGCTCCTGGGTTCCGGAGTCTCCAGCACTTACTGCTCGATGACGCCCCCCCCCCCCCATCTTAGATCGTAATGCTTCCTGATGGTGTGTTTAAATACGGTGTTTGGGTGAAGGGGTGCCCCTCGTCAGGTGCCAGGAGCATCTGATGGCCTGGGCAGGTCGGACGTGTTTTGTGTGTCAGAGGAACGGACGGCCTGCTGGGCTCCCGCATCCCTCACGAGCCCCTCCGAAGGCCCCAGGCCACCTGGCTGACTTCTCAGGTTTCCCCGCTCACCAGGGCTTCAGGGCATTTTTGGTGGTTTCCACTCAGTTAAAAAAAAATGTGTCATTATTAATCAGGTTTTACTAAGAAGCTGCAACACGGTAGGTGTGTGTGTGGGAGGGGGGTGCTGGCTATAATTTAAAAAAATGAAGTCTTTGTTGTCCGCCTTTAAAAGAGGACTTCACCAGGGGACTTTTAGCTCTTTCAAAGATAGGATTGTGCAATCGTGAGAGTTAGGGAGAAACACTCATTTTGGTGCGGCTTCCTGTGGGTAGGGAAGGGTCTGAACTGCTGTAGGTCTTGGCCTCGCTAGGCTGCGTGGTTGCTTTCTTAGGCATTATCTTTCCCACGTTGGGGTGGCTGTGTATGATCTGCCCCAGGGGAATGTTCTGAGGATTACGTTGGTGTTTCGGTTCATGGCCCGGGGATTTTAGGAATTGCCCCCCAGTGACCTTAACGTGTGGCAGACAGGGTCGCCTGCGAAGAATGCGAGGAAGCATGTCCCAAAGATGTGATAACAAAACATACGCAAGAAGCAGAGTTGTAGACTTTGCGGGAATGTAGAGGAAAGTAGGTCAGCGCGTGCTCCTGTTATCCCTGACAGTTACTTTTTCAAGGCACAGAATCCTGAGGACCCGGCCGTCAGTCCGGGAGGGGAATGGCTGGGGGCTCCTGTGCAAACAGATCCGTGGTGGTCATCCATCTGTAGGCAGCCCTGTGTCTCGCTGCCTGGGGTGATGTTGTGTGCCTTGCCAATGTACAAATTTACCCTTATCTTCTTAATTCTTCTGAATGTGGTTACTTCAGATACGTATACTTTATTCACCCTCCTTCCGTGCTAACACTGGGTTCTCTTTGGGACATTCCAGACGCAGTTCACAGGGGCATGGAGCGTTCCTTACTGGGGGAGATTGTCCGTTTTTTCCAGTGTTGGAAACCCATATTGTACAGTTCAACTTCCCTTCCCCTGCTTTGGCTTTGGAACCACTTTTGTGATTTTGGAATCTTCCAAAGCAAAGAGGTGGGGATTTGAAAGCAAGAAAAAGAAGAAAAAATAGGTGAAATATGTGCCTATATTAGTCCGCTCAGGCTGCCATAACAAAATACCGTCGACCGGATGGATTAAGCAACAGAAGTTTATTTCTCACGGTTCTGGATGCTGGGAAGTCCAAGATCGAGGTGCCGGCTGATTTGGTTTCTGGCGGGAGCGCTCTTCCTGGCTTGTGGACAGCCGCCTTCTCCCGTGTCCTCCCTCACACGGCCGTTCCTCCTGCACACGGAGGGAGCTACTCTCTCTCTTCCTCTTCTTATAAACCCGCTAATCCCATCACAGAGCCCCCACCCCCTGCCTTGACCTAGTCTACCCCTAAATATCCCCCCGCCCCCGCAGGGCTCATCTCAAAATACCACCACACTGGGGTTTAGCTCTTCACCGTACAGATGTTGAGGAGACATGTTCAGTCCATAATAGAAGCATTTTGGAGACATAGACATAGCAAACCAGTTGGTGACTTGGGAGCAGCGGGGATCTTCCGGTTAGTCCCTTGGTTAGGGCAGTGATGTTAATGCAGATGACTCACGGCTAGATCCTTCTGTGGACCTTTCGTTTTGTATCTCCCGGGCTGCACCTCCAGGCCACGGCCGAGGGATTATACGGACAAGTTAACACAGAGTCATTACCACTGGTTTAAAAAAAAACAACATTGTGCATTACACAAACTGGTAAGAGCATTGGCAGTTTCTGTATTGACCAGGATCTGGTTGAGGAACCCTGGTGGCTCCGGTCCATGCTGCCTTGGGCTCCCACAAATCCACGCGGTCTGATGGCCCGTGTCATCAAATAAGCTCCTTGTGAGCCCTGTCGCCCCACGCGATGCCTTGTAGGTGATCTCTTACTGGGACAGATTAAGCTGGCATTTGGTTAACACTGCAGAACTCCGGGGCTCCGTGGTTCAGTCACTTCTAATCACAATGAATTCGAGTGTACACTGGTTAAGGCGCTTTGCAGCTCCTTAGGCTAAGTGGGGAATGACTGAATTTGCTGTGAAAGGATCCGAGCTACCTCCTAAAAGTCAGTGGTAAGATAAGGCACAGCTCGAATTCCCACCAAAACCCTTTCTTCGTTTTTTTAGAACTTTGTGCTGTGGAGGTTATGAGAGATGAGTGTAATAAGCACCCAGACCTCAACAGGTACTAATATTTGCCAGTCTTGTTTTACTTATCTCCTCCTTCCCCACTTTTTTTTTTTCCCTGTGGAAGCTGCTGTATTTTAAGGTAAAATCTTAAACATCATGTCATCTCTCTCATAAATGTTTCAGTTTATATCTCCGAGAGGGACTTTTTTTTCTTTAAAGAAACAAGTTCGCCCTGGCCGGTAGCTCAGCTGGTTAAGAGTGCCGTCCTGATAAGCCAAGGTTGCAGGCTCGATGGGCCTGGTCAGGGCACAGACAGGAATCAACCAGTGAGCACGTGGATGGGGGAAGAACAAGTCCATCAACCCACCGTCCCTCCCTCCCGCCTGCCCTTCCTCTGTCTCTAAAATCAATAAAAATTTAAAAAAGAAAACAACTTCTATGCCTTTTTTATACCTAAAAATGTTAACAGTACTTTAATATCATTCCCAAATTCAGATTTTGTCAAGGATATCCTTTCACTTACGGTTTGTTGGAATCAGGAACTAAGTAAGGTTCACATGTTGCATTTGGTCATTCGGTTTTTAAATCTATTTTATTAGTTGTCTCCTCATCCCCCGCCTCTTTTTTCATGCCATTGACTTGATGGAGGGAATGGGTCATGTGTCCAGTAGCAGGTCCCACTTTCCGGGCTGATTTCTTACCACGGTGTCGTTTCATTTGTTGCTCTGTTCTCCATGTTTCCTACCATCTGGAAGTTAGGTGTAGAGGCTTGATTAGATTCGAGTTCAAAGACAAGCGTCCTTCGCAGGCAGTGCTGTGTGAAATCCGTTGCATCGCCTCCCAAGACACGTGATGTCTGGATGGCTCTTTCTGAGATGTTAAGACTGATTAGTGGGTTCCGGTAGAGTCAACTCACCTTTCTACCTTTCGCCTAATGATTTCAGCATCATAGAAGCACAGCAGCCATAGTGTCATGGTTACAGCCTAGATCCATGGCATCAGGGGTTGTAAAGGGGTGGTGTTCTGAATCTGTGATTCCTTTTTTAAAAAAATGCTTAGCCCTGGTCGGCTGGCTCAGTGGCTCAGTTGGTTGGAGCATTGTCCCATACACCACGAAGGCTGTATACGGTGGGCAGCTGATCGATGTGCCTCTCTCTTACATCAATGTTTCTCTCTCTCTCTCCCTTCCCCTCTTTCTGTAATCAATAAAAAACATATCCTCAGGTGAGGATTAAAAGATGTTTATACTTCTTGCTGAGGTATAGTTGACATACAACATTATATTGGTTTCAGGTGTACAACATAATTAGTCAGCATCTGTATTACTGTGAAAATGATCGCCACAGTAAGCCTGGTTAACATCTGTCACTATACGTAGTTGCAGAATTTCTTTTTCTTGTAGTGAGAACTTTTAAGATTTATTCTCTTAGCAACTTTCAGATATGCAACAAAGTATTATTAACAATAGTTGACACACTGACGCATCACATCCTCAGGTTTTTTATAACTAGAAGTATGTACCTTATTTTTATAACTAGAAGTGTGTACCTTTTGACTCCCCTCATCCATTTTGCCCACCTCTTGCACCAACAGTTTGTTCTCTGTATCTATCAGCTTGTTTTTTTTGTCGTTTTTTTAGATTCCCCATAGAAGTGAATCATACCTACTGTATTTGTCTTTTTCTCTCTCTGACTTATTTCACTTAGCATGATGCCTCCAACCATGTTATTACAAATGGCAAGATTTCATTCTTTTAAGTGGCTAATATTCTATTGTGTATATACCACATTTTCTTTTTTCTTCTTTTTTTAAATCCTCACCTGAGGACATGTTCATTGATTTAAGAGAGGGAGAGAGAGAGAGAGGGAGAAACATTGATGTGAGGGAGAAACATCAATTGGTTGATTCACCCCAACTGGGGATTGAACCCACAACCTAGGTATGTGCTCTGACTCGGGATTGAACCCACATCTTTTGGTGTACAGGATGATGCTCCAACAGAGCCACCCTGCCAGGACCTGCATTTTCTTTATGCGTTCATCCACTGATGGACATTAGTGTGTTTCCATATCT